AACATCTTTCCAATCACATAGACACCACACTAATTCAGGCCTTCATCACCACCTGCAATGACTATTTCAAAAGCCTCCTAAACTCTCTTCTTGCATCCAGACTCTTCCTTCTCCAGTCCATAATCCATGCATCAGTCAAACTGATATTTCTAAATATCAATGTCTAACCATGGCACTCTCCTGCTCGAGAAGTTTCAGTGGTTCCCAAGTTCCTCTAAGATCAAAGATAAATTTAACATTCTTCACAATCTAATTCCAACTTTTTCAGACTGATCACACAATTCTTTCTTTCACATAGCCTATATTCCACCAAATTGGCCTGTAGACACTCCATCTACAACCTCTATAACTTTGCGAAGGTTGAGCCCTATGCCTTGAATGTTCTTTCTTTGTACCTTCACTTCCTGAAATTCTTAGCTTCCCTTAAAGCACAGATTAAAAAAAAACCCACCTATTATACAAGGCCTTTCCTGACCCTCTGGCTGTTAGTTGCCCCCCCCCTTCAAATTTCTTTGTATGTATTTTATATACATTTATCTTCACATGTCTTGTTTTTCCACAATAGAATACATAAGCCCCTGGAGGGAAGGGACTGTTTTCACTTTTGTCTGTGTATCCATAGGGCTTAGCACAGTTTCAGGCACACAGTAGGCATTCAATAAATGCTTATTGATTTGAATTCAAAATTGGCTTCTAATGTTGCTAGGCTGCTGCCATTGTGAGCTTTGTAAAAAGAAAACATAGATCTCCTAGCTTGCAATTAAATTCTGGATGGTTAAAGAAGCTTTCCTTTGATTTCCTATCGTAGTGCCCTTGTTCATGGAGAGGGGGAAGGGGAATTTAACTTCTACTCTTTTTTTCCCTAATAAGAAAGGGAGCTCCACTCAGTTTTCTCCTCCCACAGTCTCTGAGCTCTGTGTTCCCTCAGCCCCTCCCGGTGATTGGGAGTGGGAAGGCACAGGGCAGTCTCTCTCTGTGCTCTGACTTCACCAACTGTGTCTAGAGAATCTTAATAGCTCCCTGACCCATCTGTTAATTAGCCATAGAAAAAAGGAAGAAAGAAAAAAGAACCATACAGTTCTTCCTTCTGAGTGATTCTTGTCTCTAAGACACTAATGAATCAACTAAGGGTGTGAAGGAAGGAACAGCTTTGGAAAAGAGACACCTAGTACAGAATTTAATATCAGGCTGAAACCAGGGTCTCTGCTGCAGTTTCCTACAAATATCCTTGGACCCAGTCATTCCCTCCCCCACTCCCCACCCCCAACCACTGCTGGGACACATTTTTCTGTCCCTGGGGCTGCTTTTCTGAGGGGACATAGCAACTGCTCATGAAAATTTTAATAAATTGTCATTGGTGGACAAGAAACAGACATGTCAACCTGAACCATTGGAGATCCCCCAAAAATGTTAAGGCATAGAAGCAGTGTCAGAGAACAGAGCAGCATCCAAAAAATGACTGTTTCTCTTTTAGAAAATTCAGACAGCAAGGGTGGAGAGCATTGTGTTTTGTTTTGTTTTTTCATGGCCAGTGGATGAATTCTGGTTATTCTTCCAGGGGACCTGCCTCCTTCTCTTATTCCCTCAGGGTCAGATAACTGAACTTGAGTTCCTACTTATTGGTTAGAGCCCAGAGAGCTGACAATTTCCTTCTAGCACAGATTCTTATCTACTCAGAAATATAGTCACAGAACCTGGTCTGTTTGTACACTAACCAATTTAGGAAAAACAAGTTTATTCTCTGCAAGGTATGAATGGTTAGAGGACCTGATACTAAAGGAATCTGTGTTGGGATATTCTGATGGTTGCTTAACCTGGCCATATTCACATGAAAATTGCTCTCCTATCTAGGGGTCCATTTTTTTTACCCTCACCTCTGCCAAAATAAAGCCAAATTCCCCTTTGAAATATTTCAGATCTCTTGCCCCAGAACTCAGAATAACTTGACTGACTAGTGCCTAAAGGGCTATGCTCACAGCGGGATAGGATATCCTCAGATTTCCTCTGCAAAAGGATATATTTGAGTACTATGTAAATTATAACATATCCTATTTTCTTCTTTGTCCTCTACTAGATGTAAATCCACTCTTCTGTCTGCCCTTCCCTGGAGAAACTACACTGCCCATCACTGCCAGCATGCTCTGTTTAAGATCTTGAGACTCACTTGCAATATCTGGTACAATTCATTGCCAACCTAAGCTTTTCCAGTCTTATCTCCTATGCTCCCCTCCAGCTATTCTATGCTCATCATTCCCTGTTATCTTTCGTTCCTCTCCCCACTTTAATCCTTGCTCACATCATCTCTCATACCTGGAACATATTCCCTCTACATCCCATTTCTGCCTAATAATAATAATGCCCTTTCCTTCCTTCAAGGCCTAACCCAGGTACTTATTTTTCCTTGATGTCTTCCCAACCCCCCCTTGGTGAAATCGATGTACGAATACCCTAATGTCAAAACCAGCCAAAGCTTAATGGTCATGCAATCAAATACTTCCATTTTGCAGGTAAAGACAATGAGTTCCAGAGAGATCGCATAGCTAGTAAGTGTTAAATATAGTCCTAGTTCTCCTAACTTCACTACATCGCAGATGCCTCACCTCTCCCTTCTTAAACACCTCACAAAACCCAGACCTCTCTTATGTACTTATCACATTTCTTCTATCAATTATTTGTGTCCTTGTTTGTTAGAATGTAAGCTCCTTGATAATAAGGGCATGTGCCAGATTTACTTTCATATACCCCAAACCTAGCAAAGTGCTTTACACATAGTCAGCATTTGAATATTTGTTGAATTGAGCTGTCATTCTTGTGAATGACTACTGAAACTACAAATATTGTGTTATAGAATAATAAAACATCATAGAACGTTAGAAAAGGAAAGAACTTCGGAAAGCATCTAGTTCAATTTCCTCAAAAAACAGCTGAGGAAATTGACGCCAAGAAAAGGGAGATGATTTTCCCAAAGCCACACTGTTAGTTGAGACAACAGAGAACAAAACCCTGCAATTCTGTCCCCTTGGCTAATGTTCTTTCCACTTCAATTTTCTGGTAGGAGTTAGTAAAAGAGAGATATAATCCCAAAATTGCAATAAACTTACTCAGGGAAAGGAATCAGACTTGGGAACACAAGTCAAAAAGAGGACACAGTTGAAATGAAGGGCTCTTCCCTTCTCTCTCAACCCCAAGGCAAAAGTAAGCTTGTTTTATGGTTGAAAGGAAAATTGAATAAGCCAATCCAAGAAACAACCCTTTCCTTCGAGCAGGACATTTAATATCATTTGCAGAGACACTGAGAAGGGTACTTCCAGCCTAGGTGTCTCTTTCACCTGCTCTACTTCTCCCTCTCCCTACTTCACTCTTCCATTTAGCTGTAGCTACTATTTCTGATAAGTCTTCACAGAGTGCACAGTGCTAGACACATTGCAGGTGATGTTTAAAAGTATGTTCAGGAAGGTAGGGATGGGAAGTAGCTGTTTCTTAGGAAATGAGCTGTTTTTCTGAGAGTGTCCTATTTTTAATATTGGGGCTTTTCTCAGCATTGAAGCTCCTATATTGTCAAACCAGTTGAGGTGAAACATGTTAGAGGAGTATCATCTTTTCTCAGTTTCCACGTTATAATCAGAAATAAACCAATCATCCCTTTTCAGTGTATTGGGAAAGTTATACTTGCCTTAAGGTTTAGGTGATAAAATTTTAAATTCTGGGATCAGGCTTTCAGGAAAAACTGAACAGCAAACAGAGCCCGCAAGAGTGTGGAGGTGGTGTAATAGAAAGAGCACTGGGTTTGAAGTCAGGAGACATGGGTTTGAATTCTGGCTCTGCTCTCTACTAACCTTGAATATAATACTTTATTCTTCTCCCTGGGCCTCAATTTCCTTCCCTATAAAATGAGGGGATTGGATCAAGTGACCTTTTAGATTCCTTAACAGCTCTATATGTATGTAAGTGTGTGCTTGTATGCATGCATATATGTATGTGTGTGTATGCACATTGGTGCCAAATTAGATAAGAGGAAGGGGACAATGGCCCATGACAAGGCTGACCAAGGGACCCAAAGAAACACGCTGAGGGGGATCTGGTTATTAGGTCAATATTCACACAATGTGTGAGAAATCATGCAATTTCCTGTGGGCTGTATCTGTGCCTTCAATGCACTCAAGTAAGCAGAGTCCAGCTACTTAGTGGAGAGGGAACTGGAAAAAGACCTAACTTTGCATCCAAGGGGCTTCTGCTTTGACTTTTCAAAAGGGATGGTTGGAAGTGATTAGGTTTCAATGTGAGATGTTCACCAGGAGGAGGCAGTTTCTTCAATCCTGTGGGCTTTTAATCTACCTGGATGTGTTGGTGTAGGGTGCTATATTGGGTTTTTGAAATGAAATACATGTGTCCTACCTTATAAAATGGAATGGGAAGGAAGGAATCAAAATTTTGTCATAATGGATTTGATAAACAATTTTCCCAATACCGCCTTCCTTTCAAGCTTAAACTACCATTTCCAGTAAGTCATCAGCTTGGGGGCAGTTTGCATTACAAAACACACAGTATGTTGATTCACCATGCCAAAAAAAAATTGCCATTAAAAGGAACCACGTTTACATGCATTGAAAAGAAAACCCCAGGAGAATCAATCCAGATTATTTGGAAAATTCCTAGACTCTATATTCCTAACCAGAAAGGCTGTCCAAAGCTAGGTCAGTGATTGTTCAGAGTCAGGGAAAGGAGCTGAAGGAGTGGAGAAAAGGCTAAGGTGGGTGGGTAAAAGAAACCTCTACTATCTACACTTAAGTCTCTGGCTTATTTTAAACCAAAAGAGTGATGACCAAAATATCACACACCAGTCAATCATATTGGGTGACATTGTAAAGAAGAGAGACAGCAGAGCAAAGAGCGTCTAAAAGAGTCTGGAGAGAAAGAGATCTGGGGAGTCAGGGTAGGAATAGTAGCAACCGTTGGAGAAACATGGAAAATATGGGACTTCCCTTCTCTTCCCCTCTCACCTGTGGATGTTCATCTCCCTCGGGGGGCGGTGGGCCTTGTCATAGGAGACTTTGGCAAAGACTACAGCGATGATGACGAAAGCGATTACTCCGCAGGTGATGTAGACAGTGAAGTTGGTCTTGTCCTTCTCTGGGTCGTACTTGTTCTGGATATCCTGAGGAATCACCTGGGTGCTAGGAGTCTGGATCCACCCAGGGCTCACATAGTTCTTACACTGGTGCTGATCCAGTTTCTCTCCCCGCTTGTTGCAGCAGAAGCGGTAGAAGCAAGTACCACAGCAGTACAGGAAACCGCTCTCGCTGTTATTGCACTCAAACTCCTTGTCATACTGGCCGCTCACATCGTAGTAGCCCCAACACGTCTCGTGGGTGACCGTGACACTGGACGAAGGCCGGCCCCGCCGCCCCCCGTCTGGGACCGCCGGCTGGCGGGACGTCCCATTCAGTTCTCGGTTGCCCCTAACCATTGTCCCTCCAGCCCGCAGGCCCCCGACGGCTCCAGGGCCAGTGCTGTTATTCCGGTTCCCGCGGCCCCGGGGCCCAGCCTCAGCCGTAGGCACCAGCAAGTGCAGGGACTCCAGGGAGAGCAGCAGCGGCAGCAGCAGCAGCAGAAAGCGCCGCAGCGCCATGGTAGGCGGCTGGACTAGCAGGCTAGCGGCTGGGCAGACCAGACCGGGCGCTCGGCGCAGAGGCTGGCAAACCGGAGCCCTGCCGGGGCTGCGCCGGTGGCTTTGGATGGCAGAACCCACGGAGGCTGGCGAGTATGCTCAGGAACTCAGGGCTACAGCGCCATCGAGGCTCCGAAGGAGGCTGGAAAGGAAAGGTCCGAGCTGACCGGCGCGGGGCTCAGACGGCGGTCCCGTTTCTACGCCTCCCAGCTAGGCTTGGTTTGGCTCCTGGACAACCCCATTCCTTGGTGAAGACGACAGAGTGGCTCCCTATTTCAAGCGGGACGAGGAGAGCTGATCCAGGAAGCTACAGCGGCGGCGTCCCGTCCGGGCGGGTCCTGCGGGACAAGACGGGGGAACTAGTCACTGGGGGGAGGGGGGAGGAGGGGAGAAAAGAAGAGGGAATTGGGGGAGGGAGGAATTAGGGGGGCAGGGAAATGAAGGCACACTAGCTTGGGGAGAAGGCAAGAGGGAGTAACCATCGGGGAACTGTCTAGGGAGAGGTCCCTGTCCTTTCGGGGAGGGGGCGCGCAACCAGCTAAGGCCAAGGGCGGCCCCACCTCCGCCTGGTGTCCCCTGTAAACTGAACCTCTGCTCAGCTCCCTCCTGCCGCTCTGCAGCCCTAATCCCTCCACCTCTCCCTTCTCTCACCCCGCCCCAGGGTCATCGAGCCCCCAGCTCAGAGCATAGGGGATAAGAGAGAAAAGGAGGGATGATGTAGGAGACCAAAGCTGTGGATACCCCTTCTCTCGGCCCCACAGCTGGCTCCCGGCAACGAGGTCTCTAGAGAACACCCCCTCCTTTCCTCCCTCTGGAACCCCGGGTGCGGCTGCTAGGGGTACGGGGAGAAACACCAAGGGACGGCAACCCCGACTCACCATCCTCGGGCTGTGACTGCAGAGGCGGCAGGAAGCCGGAGCAGCAAAGGCTGGAGAGAAGGAGAGCAGCCTCCTTGGCTGTCTGCCTACAGCCAGAGTATGAGAGAGAGGGAGACACGCGCACGCTCATATACATACACACACGCACACACGCGCGCACTCTTTTACACACACACACACACACACACACACACGAGAACTGGGAGGGGAGGGGAGCGATTCCACACTGCCTACGTTCGCCGTGCTGGTAGTGGGGGGAGGGTCTTTTTTCCCCTATCCACTGAAGCCTCCTCACTGTCACTAGAGCTCAAGACTCTAGTTAATCAACGCGCCAAACCAAGTGAAGTGGGAAAAAACAGTGGAATATCCCATTGATCCTGTATAAATATTGTTTGTACATAGTTGTTTCCCCCCGTTAGATTGTGAACTCCCTAAGAGCAAAGGAACTGGGGGTAGTGTGTTTGTTTTTTGACTTTTCCCCCCCTTCTTTTGTATCCCAAGCGCTTAGTCCAGCGTCTGACACGTAGTGGGCGCTTAATAAATGCTTTGTTACTTGACTTGGAAGCCTTCCACTTCTGAGACTTGGCTGCTGCAGGGGCCCTCCCTGCCTGCTGGCCCCCAACTGCCTAACAATAGCTGCTTTCCTCAGGTAGTTCAAGAGTTTGTAACACCTGAATGGGAGATGGTTGCACAAGCACTTTTTTTTTCCAGCTGGGAGCACTTCTCCCCAGCAGTTACACTCACAGCCTATTGAATTGGTCAAACCCATCTCTACATGTTGACAACAGATCAGATGACTTTCTTGAGTCTGCTAAATGGGGCCAAAGTTGGGACCAAACACCTATTTTCCCTCCACTATATACACACATCAGCTGCTTTACTCTTCCTCCTAGTTCAGAGAAGTATTTCAATCAGACAGTTTCTGCCCTGATTTTTTTTTTGTCCTTTGCTTCCAGTTTTGGGAAAGAGATTCGGGATCTAGAAGATAGCAGGGCCATCACAAACTTATCTTAAAATTCTGGTTCTGAGGATTCTACATAAGATTGTTGCTAATGCTACTTTAATAATAATAATATAGCCCCTTGCACTGTTCTTCAGCTTCTCTCTATGCCTACCGTTAATTGATGCTAGAGTATGAAGGGTTTTATTGTAGAAAAGGGATATATTAGTTCCTCTTGTCTCCAAGAGGGAAAAGTGGGTAGAAGTTGCAAAGACCAATTTAGGCTTGAAGTAAGGAGAAGATTATTAAAATTATGTATTCAAAAGTGGAATGAACTGTCTCAAAAAGTAGTGAGTTCCCTTCCACTGGAAGTCTTCAAAGACTGGATGAACAATTGTCATCTATGTCACCTATATAGTAGAGGATATTTTGTATTGGAGTAGGTGGCTTCTAAGATCCACCCTAACTCTGAGATTTGGTAACTTTTACAATTTATTTTATTTTACTTTCTGGAATAAATTCATATCTGTGTGTCCAAGAGGGAAGGTAAGACAACCATCTTCCTCAGTTTCCTTTTCCTCCTTATTACTCCTCCCCTTACCATCTTCTCTCTACTGTTCTGCATACTATCCTCCTATTACCTAGTCACTTTCTTCCTGCTACCTCATTTGACTCCTTTAATTCTGTTTTCTTTCTTCTTCCCTGCCCCATGCCATACACCTCTGATTTGTGAAGAAGAGACTTGAGGTTGAATTTCAGGGAGCTCAGAGAACTCTCTCAGAATTTCCTTGGGGGTTTGTGGAGAACCTCATACTTTTTTTTTTATTTGTATATGACCTGATATGTGAAGGGAGGGATTTACGAAATGAAAAAAAGTAAATCAACCCTGGAAACTCTGCCTATTTCTGAATACCTGAGGGTATTTCAACACTGGTTGAAGTCTGTCTCTGTGGTTTTTCAGTACCTATTATCTAAAAATAAATTGTATTGATATTTTTAGTTTTTACATCATCTATATTTCCTACCATATCTCTCCTCTTCTCTCCTTCCAGAGATACCCCTTAAAATCTTTTTTTAAGGAAGAAAACAAAATTCAGCAAAATTAACCATCATATTGAAAAAAAAATCTGATATCATATGTAGTTTTCCCTCACAAACCCACATTTCTGCAAAAAGTAGTTACCTATACTTAAGGTCAAGCTTATTTATTAACACTAAAAAACAATGTTTCAATTGTTTTGTTGTTATTCTTTCCATTTATACTGCTATACTCATTCTAATTATTGTTTTCCTGGTTTTGCTTATCTCATTTTGCAACACTTCAGATAAGTTTTTCCATGCTTCTCTAGTCATCATGTTCATTGTTTCTGATAGCACAGAAATATTCCATAATTTTCACTTAATACAGTGTGTTTAGTCATTCTCATTCAGTAGGTATCTACTTTGCAGTTATTTTATGCTACAAAAAAGGAAGAAAGTTGTGTGTGCTATAAATATTTTGGTTAATATGGAACTTTACGTTTTTGTCATTGACCTCCTCAGGTTATATGCTTAGAAGTGGAATCTCTGGGTTAAAGGGTATGGATACTTTAATCACTTTATTTCTTTGTATAATTGCTTTCCAGAATGGCTGGACCAATTCATAGCTACTCTCACAATGCACAATGAATGCCTGTCTTTCCACAACCCCTTCAATAATTACTGTTCCCATCTGTTGTCATTTCGAATTTGCTGATTTTGAGGTAAAACTTCAAGGATGTTTTGATTTTTATTTCTTTTGTTATTAGTCTTTTGGAGCATTCTTTAATATGGCTGTTAACAGTTTTGACATTCATCAGTAATGTTTTCCTTTGTCCATTCCAAAACCAGTGGTTCCAAATTCTAAACATCAAAGCATCTTGTTCAACACTCTTGGTATATTTCACTGCTCTAGTTGCAGAAGAAATGGGTTCAAATTATAGCTTATCCTATTCTGCCTTTGTGACCTTGAACAAATAACTTCAATTCTGTGAGCCTCAATTTACTTTATCTACAAAATGAGGCAATTGGACTAGATAGCCTTTAAGAGAGTCCTTTCCACTTTAAACCTATGATCCTTAATTCATAGATAAGGAAACAAGCCCAAGGAGGTAAGATCACTTGTCTAAGGTCACATAACTAATAAATAGCAGAGAGAAATTCTCTTGAATTGTCTTTTTTCAGTAATACTTAGAGATGTTACAGAATACCAACCTTCATTCATTTCTTCAGGTATTTCTTCAGGTGTTCATCCCTTTACTGGAAGGATCCTCCTTGTTTTTTAACTCTACAGTTTGGTTTCTGACCTTACCATTTAACCCATACTGCTCTCTAAATTTATTTGATGATCTCTTAATTGCTGAATCTAATGGCCATTTGCCACTCCTGATCCTTCTTGACTTCTCTGTAGACTCTGATACTGTCAATCACCCTCTTCTCACTGATATTCTCTTCTTTTTAGGTTTCTGTGACAATACTCTCTCCTGGTTCTCCTTCTATTTATCTGACCACTGCTCAGTTTCCTTAGCCAATTCTTCATCCAGGTCTCATCCACTTACCATTGGTGTCCCACAGGGTTCTGCCCTGGGCTGTCTTTTCTTCTCCTTTACGCTATTTTATGGGATCATCTCATCAACTCCCTTGGATTGAATTGTCATCTCTCTGCTGATGATTCTCAATAGATGATGATCTGCTTATCTAGCCATAATATCTCTGCTGATCTGTAGTCTCAAATCTCCAACTGTCTATTGTACTAGGAGACTAGGATGAAACTTAGGTCATAAGCATAGAGGACTGAGTGGTGCCCTTAACAGTAATAGGGAGGTTAGGAAGAGGACAATGTTCAGTTGTTGGGGGAAAATGTTCAATTTTGGATCTATTGAGTTTAAGATGTTTATAGAACATCTAGTTTGATATCTAGTTAATAGTTTTTGATGCCTATTAGTAATTTTTTTTTCTTTGTGCATCCAAAACTGGTGGTTCCAAACTCTTAAGTATCAAAGAAAATAGAAATCTTGGGAGGGAACTGAAAAAAATGTTCAAAAGGAATGGGATGAGGGGTGTTGAACAAGAAGCTCTTTAAAGTTCCTACCAGGTCTAAATCCTTGGAAATAGATTTCCAAGGA